CAATGTATGAATAATAATGTTCGTGTGCAAAATGTGTACTATATTGGTAAATGCATATTATTATAGAATAGTAAAATAATATCTTTTATTTCTCTCCATTTAACGACCACTCTTTATAACGCCAAAAAATGTTCAGTCCTTTAAGTGTCGTTCTATAGAGTTTACACTGTATATTATTTTCTTTGAACAAAACATTTTTAGTAATTGAAATTTTTAGTTTGCTTTGGGGACATCCATAAATTACGTCACACGTTAAGGGGGAGGGTCGACGAAGTGTGACATGGGTTGGGAGGTGTCCTAAATTTAGTGAAGTCACATTTCAAAACCTGTTAAAATATGAACTTTGCAATATTAACAAAAAATTTAAAAACATTTGCAACTCTATCTGAATAAACATAAGATTCAAATTGTTTTGTCGGCCACTCGCTCTACCAGTGTAGTAAAGTAATCGTTTTTTTTTTGTTAATTTCTTGAAATGTTAATTTTATTAAATAATTTAAATAGAAATAAAACTAATTTCGGAACTGCTGTTTTAATTCAATAATTTCTAGATGTAAAANTTAAAAAAAAAAACAGCAAACGAAGAGGGTTCAATGCATCGTGCTTTTAATTAAATCCGTGTCTCATTAAATGCGATGTCGCGGAGGCGTCCCGTCTGCCACCGGTCGTATACAAAGTTCGAACCAATAGGAAGGATTCGATTTTTTTTTTCTGTCTCAATTGCTCACGGCGCCCACCCGTAAATTAACCAAATAAAACGACGACGGGGGGAAAAAGAGAAATTGATTCAACGAAAAGAGTCTGTCACTGTTAATGCACAAAGGAAGCTAACTACTCAAATTACCAACCCCATGATAGATGTATACGTACAGAACGATGCAAAAGACTATTGATTAAAAGAATACAGAATAGTATAAGACTGTTTTTTACTGAACCAACAAAACGAAAAATTATTACTTTCGATGGATTTATGAACTAAACTATTTGAAGCAATTTTAATACAGTGTAAACTCTTTATAACGTCACTCGATTTAACGACAAACTCCTTAAAACGTCGAAATTGCTTGACTTTGGTTGGTTTACATTGTTTTCTATACAATATTACACTCTATATAGCGTCACGCTCACTCTATTTAACGACAACGATGCGGCATTATAAATCATTGAGCAGTACTTTCTAAGTTGCCGAAATAGATAAGAACTGCAGCTGTGTACGTTGTTGAAGAAGACGATCCTGTCCCTCCACCAAGCATCAAACAAGCACTTGATGCAGCGAAACTATTAAAAAAATACTTTTTATATAATCAAATTGATCCAGCAGTATCTCAA